ATTTTTCCACTAACTCTTGGTATTTTAAATTAATTAAAAGTGAATAAAAGTATTAACCATGGCAATGTCAAGTCACGGTAAAACATGGTTTGTGTTTAGATAATAATTTTGTGGTCGTTCTCAATGTCTTTTTCAATATCCGGTGTCCTTCTTTAACCCTTTAAATAAGGAATATAAAGCATCCATGATGGGAAAGTGACAACAACACTAGTGTTACGACATAACATGTGCATATGGTTAATTAAAGCAATCAAACCAATATTTTGCTACAAATAAGGACCACGGTAGTTATGGGTCCTCATCCTCATGGCTCTTTATTCTTCATCTCATATCACCTCTCTAGTGAGTTTTTGGGTCCATTAAAATGGATATGATTTTTGAATGATCAACCAAATCTGAATGCTGCCCTTTCCAATTCTTAACTTACAGTATATACGTGTAGAATTCAGCGCACTTCCCCCTTTTTTTTTATCTAAGTTTTAAGTAACCAAATGCATGTGTTGAAGAAGTAAATCTGGTAAGATTTAAAGAATATAAAACAATTTTTATCTTTTATTTTTGGTTACGTAAAACAGTATTGTTAGTTCCACAAACTTTTATTCACGAATGTTAAAGCATATATCGTTAAAAGAATTTTAATTACTTTATGGAGAATATTACTCTCATATTATACGAGAGAATTATGTACTCACAAATCAAAAGTGAGGCTCATTTTAATTTCTCTCTCTCTCATCTATTCTATATATCTCCTCTCTTCTTTAAATTGTGAGTGCATGATAAATTTTTTATCTCCTGTAACATGATAGTAATATTCTCCTTACACATTATTAAAAACAAAAATTTCAAACTCATTTTTATTTTGATGAAGAATCTAGGCAAAAAAATTAATTTATTGCTTTTTTAATAAAAAATTACGAATATATAGTCATTTTAAAAAAATTACAAAAATATAGCACTCAAACACGCCCACATGGGGTGTGTTCCCAGGGAGAGAGACACGCCCATGTGGGGCGTGAGTCTCTGGAATAACACGCCCGCATGGGGCGTGAGTTGTAGGAGAGAGACACGCCCATTGAGGGCGTGACCTATGAGGAAGACACGCCCAACTTGGGCGTGTTCCAGTGGAAGGTCCTGCCCAATCTGGGCGTGAGTGACTAAACTGCAGTCTATTTAAACACCCACACCTCTACACACTCTTCACAACTCTTCTCCCTCTTTATTATTCTTAAACTCTCACATTCTTTCGCACTTGTTTATTTATAGTTTGCACTTGTTTACTCATATTTCGTTTTATCTTATTATTTTTTATTTTAAGAATGAGTACAAATTCTGATATTATTCGTGTTGTTCTATATTTTAACCGTAGGAAAGAGGAAGGTCGTCGTGGTGTTGTTTTTGTAGGGGGAAAAAGGCCATCATGTATTAAACGGAACTCAGCGATTGCGGAGCTACATCAAAAAATACGTCAAAAATTATGTCTTCAAGACAACCAATCGATCACTCTAGTCACGGCAAGATTATGGCAATGTGAATAATACATTAGTTTGCAAGTGATCGATGACGAAGACATCGATATGGTAATGGAAGAGTTCTTGAACCAGTCTAGAAATGATTTCTTAGAGTTGTATGTGCATACTACCACCGCAGAGGATGTTGTTATACCAATGAGGTCAGTTACTTCTACTTCTCCTCTTAATGCATCCTCATCTGCTGCTTCTGTTGTTAACATGTATGAGGAAGATGAACATGACCCTACTTGGGTTATGGATGAGGAGTATGAGGAAGATGATGAGGAAAATATTGCAATGGAGGATCGTCTTCTTGCAGAGGATGCGAGTGCATCAGACAATGACGAAGAATGTGGCAGGTCGTGTACTCAACTTCAACCATGGCATGATTTGGGGGAGTCTCGTATCGTTGTACGTCATGACACAACATCGAGTCAAGTACCAGAACATCCTAAAGGTATACTATCAATCAATATTCTAGCAATTTAATTGCACTTAATTAAATAGCATTTAACTGAATTGAATTGTTATATTAATTTCAATTAAATTAACCTCAATGAAAATTAATTAATTTAACATTACATTATTCTAAAAACATATTTAATTATATTAAATAATTTAAAATCAATTTAAATTATAAAAATATATTTAAATATATTAAATAATTTAAAATCGATTTAAATTAATATTGCATATTGTATTCTTTTTTTACAAACCCTAATTATAATGTAGTTAATTGAAAGGTCAATATGTTTGCAAGTGTCATTCATATAAAATTATTAATTGTCTCAAACTAATTTCTAAGTGTGTAAATAAGTCTTATCACCAGCATATACCAATTTATAAGTAACTAACTAATTTTTAAGTCCCTATCTAATTCCTAAGTCACTAATCATTCTATTACATAGGTCACTAATATTTTTCTAACCCCCTAACAATTATCTAAGTCACTAATAACTATCATATATTTATTGTTGTTAATAAAAAATATAAACAATAAATAGGGACTTACATGAGAGAGAGAGAGACAGAGCTTCACTGCGCAAAACGCTCCGGAAGAAATGTAGAGAAAAGATGGAGGAGTGGTTTAGAGAGAGGAAGTGGAGGTGGAAATGAGAAAAAAGTGAAAAATGACCTATTTATAGACCAGGGAGGTCACGCCCCTGTTGTGTCTCTCTCCTGGTCACACCCAAGATGGGCGTGTTATTCCAGAGACTCACGCCCCACATGGGCGTGTCTCTCTCCATGGGAACACGCCCCATGTGGGTGTGTTTGAGCGCTATATTTTCGTAACTTTTTTCAAAACGACTATATATTCGTAATTTTTTATTAAAAAAGCAATAAATTAATTTTTTTTGCCGAAGAATCTATGCAAGCATATTTACGAATTATAAAAATCTTGATTTTCTTTAGTTGTAGTTGTAGCACTATATTTACTGAGTTCCTTAGGGAGTCGTTTGGTACAGGTCTTCCAAACATATGCCCATGCAAGTTGAAGTGGTATTTTGATTAGACTCCGTTTGGTAGAAGAGTTTAACAATTTTCACCTGCAAAATGGTTTGCCGAGGCATGCTGAATTGTGTGCAAATTTTGAAGTAAATCACTGTTGTAAATAACCATTAGGAGGGTGGTATTTCTCTATTAGATGGGGAACAAAAATTTGGGCGATCAAAATATCCTTGAGATTGGAGTCTCTAGAGTCTCTTTCCTCAGTCTCTCTCCTTGTATGTTGGTTGAACAAGACAACCTGACTGTTGTTGATGTGTTAATCAACAGTTACATTTTTTTAATATTCAAAAATAAAATAAAAAACTCTTTTTCGTAATTTACATACATTATCCCATCAATATTTTACTTTAACCAAACATAGACTTTGTAAACTTCAATTAATTTACCCAGTAATATTTTGGTCTACCAAGTAACTTTTTTAAACCTTTCCCATCAAACTTGATTTCATACAATATTATCAGTCATTATACTTACCCGGTAAAAAAAAATTATTCCTCTATCAAATGCCCTCTAGAAGTCACTATTAGTCACAGGTTTCAAAGGGAACTTACTTGGGTGCTATAATGTTTTGTGAACCCACACTAAGTTTGTCATTTTTTTAGTTTGTTTTTTTTTTTTTCATTTACTTCGTGCCTCACCTGTTCAATCCATCTTAGCCTGCAAGTTAAGTGGAGTGGGCCAAAAAGTTCATTACAAAAATTCGTGAGCCCAACTAATCATTTTTGGTGTTATATATTGACTAATCTAATGCAATAAGTGCATACTTGGTTATGATTAAAATCTAAGGAAATATTTTTTTAAAAGCTCTCCTTGATTTTTTTATAAATTGTTTCAAATATAAAATAAGTTATTTTAAACACACACTAAACACATTTTTATAAATTTAATTAATACTCAGATATTTAGAGTAGTTGGGACTTGAAAATGCCTTCTCCTAAACACCTCGTTGCATTGTTTACTCAAGTATGTAAGTGTTTATGAATCAACTACATGGTAGTCTCATTAACCCAATAATTCTGTCATCCTCATGAGTTGTATGCTTAAACTAGAGCTTTCATCCGTTGTCATATTAGGGCCTGTATATTTCTCTTTACTTTAGGTTAGAGTTACATAAATGTTTACCTTAAAATTCTTGTATAAATACTAATTCAATTGAAAGTCTACATGCCTAATTATTATCATTATTATTAACCATCATTAGCAACATAAAGCAAATCTAAAACAATATACTCGCTATATATCTGAAGAGATAAGAGACCCTATTTTGTGGGTTCCTACTTCCTACTTCGCACCCAAGAATGAAAAATTATTCCTTCTTCCCGCATGACATTGCCCAAAAGCAAAAAGTCTAATGCCATGACATCTAGAAATGACCGGATCAAAATATGGCTTTCATACTAAGTTTCGAATTAGTACATGCTATTGCTGGCAATGCCATATGCAAAACGGAAGAGACTCATAGAATGGCATATGCCAATAGCCCTTTTGCAAATTTTCATTAATCCATGAATAAAATCTATATAGACACATGGACCCATGGATCCGTACATCTCAATCAGAAAAAAAAAATCCATAAAAAAAGAATCGGAATTGATCATCAACTATTGAGTCTATCTATTCACACACACCGGACACACAACATATCATATCCACACGGTTTTTACCATATTATAACTACAAATTTTACACGCCATCATTCTCATTCTGCTATCTCACTGATACGAGAGATGTGAGTAAAAAATGTGATGTGCACAACATTTTCCAACAAATTATAAGGGGAAAAAACAATTGGACGGTAAGCTACATCATAACATTCCCAGCAAAATGCTAACTCACAATGAAAAGGTTACACAAAAAAAGAAATACACATGTTCCTCGCAATGTACCCTTAGGACATTATCAGAGAGATGAAAAAGTTAGATGACAAAAACATATTCCTGTGTAGTGTATATAACAAAACCCTAAATAAAATCACATTAGCAAGCATAGTTCTCACTTCACACATAACAAAACAATTGACCTCACTGCCAAAAATAATAAAAAGAATGAATTGCTAATATCCAGAAAATTTTGGTAGTCATAACCTACAGTTCATCTTCTAATTGATAGCTCTACATTACCCTTTACATCATCCGCAAGAGATCCAGAATAATTTCTGACATTGCTGGCCGGAATTCAGGTTCATGCTGAAAGAAAAGTGGTATCATATATATCATTCAAATAAATAGTTTTTATGTTTTCTTATCCCACAGTCCAAAAGAGGATATGGTAACTTTAACAACCAGTATTATAAAACATACAAAATGATGACAATGTTTGATCATTAAATATTATTTACTTTTTCTTCTTTTTGGGGTTTGGCATAGAAAGTAATGGGAAAATTACCTGTATACATGAAGAAATAATATCTGTAAAACGTGACAAGGATTTCATAGTATAGGCTCCATTTAAGGAAGGGTCAACCATTTTTGACAATGCATCAATGTCATGTAGTTGAGGAACTGCCCATCTTACCAAAAATTGCTCTCCAAGAGGCCGTGAGCTAAAAATACATAATAAATGGTGCCTTAGCCAAATCCAATGTTTTAAAGATGATTTTACTGAACACAAGTATCTGACTCACTACTGGGATTGCTAACCTGTCATAGGATTTTCGTCCAGTGAGAAGTTCTAGCAGCACAACTCCAAAACTAAAGACATCACTTTGCTTTGTATAAATTCCAGACTCAAATTCTGGAGCACTGTAACCATTAGCTGTTAGGAAGCGTCCTGACAACTGAGAATATGCAGAAGTGTTAGCCAGAAATGCAACAAAGATAGCAGAAAAGCTAACCTTATATATCTCAGGTCGTGTAACAGAGAGTATTTGGTGTCATCTTACAGGCTGATTGATTATTTTGTCTCACTTTTAAAATCAATTTACCACCTTCCATTTTCCCAAATTATATACCAATATACACTCTTCTTAAACTATATATCAATCTGCCCCTATTTGACCGAAGTTTAACCAAACTTTAGTCCTTGTAAGTCATTTACTTAGTAAATGACTCATTTACTCAAGTGTGGGTCAAATTTTGGTCAAAATGGCGCAGATTAATATATAATTTGAGAAGATGGACAAATTGATAGATAGTTTGGAAAGAGGGGTAAAGTCATAATTTTTTATTAAAACGGGAGTAAGATGATCAATCAGCCTTCAAGGCACAAAACACCCTAATATGTGGAACTGAATTTTCAGAAATTTTGAGTACTGGGAGAGTCGGAATCTAAGTCATTTTAGTTATAATCCTTCAGAAAGCTTATAGAAACAGACCAATCATCCATTTGATTTTATAATCAAATTTGATTAGCAGCCTTCATAATTTAGCTACAAAGTGGGAGAGGGAGGAACAATATCTTGAATCATTTTACATCTGAAGAACTTCCATGACTGCATCTTTTTTATTGGTACATAAAAGTTTAAGGGGAGGGGGAGGTTGACCCATTCCAAGGTCTAAGCATGCCCCAAGCCTTAACAAGTACTTAAAGTGATCCTTACAAATGACCTACCAATGAATGTTCACCAGAATTGAACCTTTTGTTGACGCTACCAGATCCTACCAGTAACTAGCTACGTTTACAGTCTGAATTTTTTTCCTTTTTGAAAAATCTGACCACATGTTTCTGTACTTCCATATTTATATCAGGTTTTTTAGGCCATTTATTCCAATTTATATCAGGTTTTTTAGGCCATTTATTCCATCATGTTCAGTAGCTCTCCAAGAATGTCTAAACACATTTAAGAAGCACAAAAGAACCAGTAGCCCAAACTAGATATCAGTTTAAGTGAGGAAATGAAAGCTAGGGCTACCTGACCAGCAAAGCCTGAAGATAGTAGAGAACCTAATCCACAATCAGAGACTTTCACTTCTAACTTGTCATTCAGGAGAACATTAGCAGATCTAAAATTTCGGTGCACAATAGGTGGCTGAAAGTGCTCATGCAGATACCTAATACATAAGATAAAAAGGAGTTGATCAAAGTTACGTTTGTCAAGAAAATGACCAATGCCTTAGACTAGTGCTATTAGTCTAAAATATAACCTCCTCATCTGGATGGGGATCCAATTTCACATTATATGCTTTAAAACCTTGCACAATTGTACAAATTGGAAGTGTGTAAGTTATGTCCCTTTAAGAAATAACTTTGGATATTATTATTAATACTTAACATGCAAAAGTTATGTTTCCAACCACAAGAACAAGACAAGCATTGCTCACCAACCTATATTGAGTTTATTTGGCTATACGAGAGGGTATCAGATTTTCTTACGAATAGCTAAACTTACTCTAAAGCTTTTGCAGCTGCAAGTGACACCTGAATCCGTTCATTCCATGAAAGTTTAATCTGAAGTTCATCATCTGTATGCAATGCATCATGCAGGGTCCCAATATTGCAATACTCATATACAAGTAATCGTTGGCTATGCTCAGCACAGTAGCCCATAAGCTGTACAATATTAGCATGTTGAATTTTGGAGATAGTGGAAACTAATTGAAGAAACTGTTCATGATTTTGCCCCATGGAAGCAGTGGCATTCAGCTTCCTAACTGCCAGTAGCTACAAAGAAGATTATTTGGAAGACATAAGCATACGAAGCATCAGTTAAATAAGAGACACAAGGAGAATGATAAAGTAATGGGCCATGTCAAGAAAGCAAGAAACAAAAGTTTGCACAGAAATCATCATAAATCATAAAGCATTACATTCCTTATATTCCACAAATTAATGGCTGTCAAGTAGTTAACTGCTATCCACGTCTCAGAGGAAGGAGGAACTACCAAGGATCACCCAGATGTCAAATTTGTCAATTCAAGCATATTGAGAGGGACCAACAGATAAGGAACAAACACAAACAAGCTCCTGCAATCTCCAAAAAATTCCCCAACAGCACAAAAAGAGTATTCCTATTGCCAGAGGCCTTAGTGACAAACAAGAAATACCTTGATAGAGGAATCATGGCCAAGTTTGAGAAGTAATGAACATAAAAGAATGCCCACATACTAAGCTGAAATAAATATAAAGGAATCCTTTATTTAAAAACAAATACATAAACTAGAAGAGCCTTACCTTTCCATCAGGGAGCTCAGCCCTATAAACTGGGCCAAGTGTGCCTTCCCCAATATAATTTTCTTGGCAAAAACTATTTGTGTACTGCTGAAGTGTTGCAACAGTATAAACTTTGACAGAACTCATTATAATTTGTCTTTCAGTTACTTTGGTAGATATAGCTGGATTTATGATGAACTTCTCCCCAGGAATGATTGGGAGAGGATGTGGAGGTGCTGGCTGCAGGGGTGGAAGTTTGGAACCCCATCTTGTATTGTTTAATTCATAAACAGTTTTGCATTCTGAAGTTGCAGATACTGTTTTCACATGTATTTCTTGTTCATCCGGCACATTTCGAATCAAATTCGTTCTTCTATTTGGTACTCCATATACAAGTGATGCTTTCTCAGCTGTGTCATTTCGAATTGCAAATAGAGTTTGAGAAGCTACATTACAACAGGTAAAAATAAAAGAATAGGAGCTTCATCTACGATGAATCAGATTGACCTTTCTCCTCATCATTAGTTGCTTCAAAAGAAGAGTCACTGCATGTATGTTTATGCAAAGGTCCTGAATCCACACCCACGTTGTGTTTCTTATAATTTTTGTTCTCTGGTCTTCTCTTAAAACACCACGACATTAAAAGACAAATTCCTAATGCAATAAATATTAAAAACCCTCCACCAGCAATCCAAAATATGCTCTTAGCTTTGAAAGACCTCCTAGCAACTGCTAGTGTTGGTGCTTTCATGGAAGTAGAGGGACTATTTGCCACTTTCCAAGGTGATTCTTCTGGGGAACGAGCCAAAGCCACAGGTGAAGGAGATGCAGCTAGAGGTGATGGAATGACAGTAGTATTAAAAGGATTCCCATCTTTTCTGCAAAGTAAATGCTACTATAACTAATTTGTACAAGTGATTGGGTAATAAGGCTATAAATGAATTTACTTTACCCTAAAGCCATACGCAAAAAAACCAAGCCAAAAATAATGCGCTCAGATCATTTGGAAAAGGATAGTCCTAACATATTACTTTAGATTTTGTCGCTAGTTGCCTAGTTCTCATAATGAAATAAAAAAGAAAAGGAAATTAGCTTAAAAAGCACCTTTAGAACAGAAAAAAAAAATATTCAAAAGTTCAACAAACCATGAATCACCTGAAATTAGGGATAGTCAACAACTTGGGAGGAATCGGCCCTGAGAAAATGTTGTTTTCTATATTCCTACATCATTATAAATTCACAGATTAACTGAAAAACAAACTCTAAACCTCCCGAGCATAAATTGTGGACAATTGTCATTTTATTCTGTAAAGAGCATATGGGTTCTAAGAATTATACAGATCCTGAAGCGGGAGGTCCTGCAAATCAAAAAGGGTTCCAGAAAGTTGATTGTTCTGCAAGTATCTGCAAAATAAATAAAGAACATTATCATTTAACAAGTAGGCAAATACAATCTCTTAGTTGCAAGAAGTTTAACTCACAATGTAGTAAGCGATGACAAATTCCCTATTGAGGGAGGCAGCTGACCACTCAAGTTGTTACCTGACAGATCCCTGCAGCATGGCACAGGGTTCCTGTCATGGCTAATAAAATAAAGACACTGAAATATCAATGTGATTTAACATCATTTCTTACATATTCATCAAACCAGTGAGCTGTAGAAACGTATCTGGGATTTGTCCATCTAGAAGGTTATTTTTTAATGATCTAAAGGGCAGCAGAAAATTCTCATTCAAAATGAAGAAACAGATTATTGAAAAATATAACAACTTGATACCGAGAAGAAGATATGTTATAAACCCACAAGTCTGACAATTGAGTTAATGAGGATAAGGCATCTGGAATGCCTCCAGTTAACTGGTTATCTGACAGAGACCTAAATTTAGAAAAATAAATCAGAAACTTGTTTAAGGAGACTTGTATTTAAGGATATGGATAGAAATGATTTAGTCAATGCAGTAAAACAAGTTATGAATATGGAGATGATAAAGATAACATACAAGTTTCTCAGAGTAGGGGATAAAGTGGATGGAATAGTCCCTCCAATGTGGTTGTTGCTAAGATCCCTGCCCAAATGGGGAACAGAAAGCTTCATGAGGTTTTCATGCAAATAATAACACAATTATGGAGCCAAAACAAGCAAGCACATAAAACAAATGCAACCATTTTCAATATGGATACCCATCCAAAACAAAGTTATTTCTTCTATTGGTCAAGAGTTATAGAAAGTTTGAATGATGGAACCAGTTTTTCCATTAAAACTAAAAGAAAACAAAACGTACAATAAATAGACACCAGAAATATTCCAGTGCAACAAATCCCTATAATCAGGGAAAGAGATAAAACTAGAAAACTGAATCCTATTTTAACTAAACAGGAAAAATATCAGAAACAAACTAATCCTAGGAATTTAAATAACAAATAACGAAACAAACTCCTAAGATTAAGGAGGAAAAATAAAACATTCTAGATGCTGAAAACTAGGGATTGCAACACTCCCCCTCAAGCTGGGTGGTAGATGTCCAGCATTCCCAGCTTGGAAATTAGTCCTTCAAATTTAATTCTTGATAAAGACTTGGTTAAGATATCAGCAATCTGGGACCCTGTGGAAATGTGACTTAGATCAATAATATTTGCATCAATTTTTTCCTTGATGAAATTTCTATCAAGTTCAACATGCTTGGTACGGTCATGATGGATTGGATTATTGACAATTCCAATGGTGGCCATGTTATCACAGAAAATCTTCATAGGATCCTTGTATTCGAGGTGTAGCTCCTTTAGGACTCTTAAAATCCACATTCCCTCACAAGTGCCTAAGGACAATGCCCTGTATTCGGCTTCAGCACTGCTTCTGGCTACCACAGACTGTTTTTTACTCCTCCAAGTGACCAAATTTCCCCACACATATGAGCAATAGCCTGTGGTTGATCTTCGATCGATAATGGATCCTGCCCAATCAGCGTCCGTGTAAATCACAATATCACGGCTGGAATTTTTCTTGAAGAACAATCCTTTACCAGGAGTCATCTTTAAGTATCGTAGGATTCTGTAGACGGCTTCCAAGTGCTCTTCATTTGGGCTGTTCATAAATTGACTGACCACACTCACAGGGAAACTAATATCAGGCCTAGTGTGGGCTAAATAAATGAGTTTTCCAACTAGTCTTTGATATCTCTCAGTGTCTACCGAAGCACATTCTTGTTTGAGTCCTATCTTGTAGTTCGCCTCCATTGGTGTATCAGAAGGTTTACATCCCAACATCCCTGTTTCATTCAGCAGATCAAGAGTATATTTTCTTTGAGAAACTGAAATTCCTTCCTTAGTTCTTGCCACTTCCATTCCAAGAAAATATCGTAATTTTCCAAGGTCCTTGACCTCAAACTTGTGAGCTAACGTCTCCTTTAATAGCTTTATCTCATCCTCCCAATTACCAGTAATCACAATATCATCAACATAGACAATTAATATTGTAATTTTCTGATGAGGTGCAGTTTTAACAAACATAGTATGATCAGTTTGACATTGGGAGTACCCTTGATTTTTGACAACTGCAGTAAACTTATCAAACCAAGCCCTTGGAGATTGCTTCAAACCATAAAGGGATTTTAATAATCTACATACCTTTCGAGATCCTTGACCATCTTCCACTCCTTGGGGAATTTCCATGTAAACCTCTTCTTCTAAGTCACCATTTAAGAATGCATTCTTCACATCCATTTGCCAAAGGGGCCAATCTAGGCAAACAGCAATGGACAAAAGAATTTTAATTGAATTAAATTTTGCTACTGGAGCAAAGGTTTCGTGGTAATCAATGCCCTGTGTCTGAGTGAATCCTTTGGCCACAAGTCTTGCTTTATGGCGATTAATACTCCCATCTTCATTATATTTGATGGTAAAAATCCACTTACAGCCAACCACTGATTTTCCTTGTGGTAAGGTAACTATCTCCCAAGTGCCATTTTTTTTGAGTGCATGCAATTCATCCTGGATAGCAGAACACCATTCAGTAGTCTTAGATGCCTCAAAGTAGGATGTAGGAATGGTTTCCTTGTCAATGTTCTTGACTAGATGCTGCATCCTGGAGGAAAGATTAGCATAGGATATAAAATTACAGATGGAATGACTTGTACATGTCCTTACCCCCTTACGAAGTGCAATTGGCATGTGCAGAGCATCATCAGAACTTGGCAGCAAGGATTCAGTTTGGTCAAGTGCAGGACTAATGGTTTCTTCAGTTGGACCAGGAGCCAAGGTAATCTGTTTGTCAACATGTTCAAGCATCTCAGAAGCTGTTCTGTATTTGGGCCGTCGCGTGTAGACTTGCAGGGGCTGCTGTTCAGGCGGTTTCTGGAGCGGGCCGGAAGAGGATAAGCCATTAGATGAAGTGTCATTTTCCTGAGATTCACCTAAGACCGGTGTAGGGGCTGTTGAAGCAGAGTTTTCTGGAGTATTAGTCACAAACAACCATTCCTTGGAATTAGGGATCTCCCCCTGAATGGCGGTTTGGGAAAAATAAGGCTGATGTTCAAAAAAGGTGACATCTTTAGTAATGTAGAATCGATGTGTGGCTGGACTGAAGCATTTATACCCCTTCTGAGTAGGGGAATAGCCAAGAAAGATGCCCTTAAGAGCCCGAGGATCCAATTTACCACCTTGAGAGTTATGAATGAACACGGTGCAACCAAAAATTTTTGGTGGGAGATTTGGGGTTAAGGTCAATGAAGGGAATGCAGTGAGGAGTGTTTGGTAAGGTGAGGAGAAGTGTAATACCCGAGATGGCATGCGGTTGATAAGGTAAGTGGCTGTAAGAATAGCTACCCCCCAATAATTTTTGGATGTATTTGAGGCAAAGAGTAGGCTACGAGCAACTTCAAGTAAATGGCGATTTTTTCTCTCAGATACACCGTTTTGTTGTGGGGTATTGACACAAGAGCTCTGGTGGATGATGCCATGGTCTTTTAGGTAAGCTGAAAGGTCCAAGTTAAAATAATCACGTGCATTGTCAGATCTAAGGGTAAGGATTTGGGTTTGAAATTGGGCAAGGATCATTTTGTGAAAGACTTTAAAGGTGGATGTGACTTCAGATTTATTGGCTAATAGGTACACCCATGTCATTCGAGTATGATCATCAATAAATGTGACAAACCAACGAGCACCCGTAAGGCTTTTAACAGTTGCAGGTCCCCACACATCACTGTGGATAATGGCAAATGGTTTAGAAGGAACATGCATTTGTAAGGGATAATGAGACCGAGTTTGTTTTGCAAGTTGACATATATCACATGAAGGAAAATTCGAATTCTCATTAAATAAAGAAGGGTACATCTTTTTCATATATTGAAAGTTTGGATGCCCTAATCTAAAATGCCATAAAAGAGCCTTATTCAAATTGCTAGTTGCTGCAAATGTGCTGTCTTGAGTCTTCATAACCGCGGCTGTGTAAAGTTGATATAAACCATTAGAGACCCTAGCACTGCCAATCGTCCTCCCCGATGCCAAATCCTGAAAAATACAATCAACGTGGGTAAATTTGACTGTGCACTTTAAATCCTTGGTCAATTTGGTAATAGAAATTAAATTGCAGGTAAGAGATGGAACGTAGAGAACTCCAGTTAAAGATATGGTTGACGATAGGTGAACAACACCAATTCCGTGAACCTTGGCTAAGCCTCCATTTGCTGTTTTTACTGATTTTGCCTCGAAAATGGGAAAGTATTCAGAAAGAAGAGAGGAATTACCAGTCATATGATCTGTAGCCCCAGAATCTACCATCCAGGAATCACATTTATCAAGATCGGATTGGAGAGCTGTATGGAATGTACCTGATTGATGACTATCAGATGAGGGATTAGATTTGTCCTTATTGCAATCTTGCAGCATGCGTTGTATGGCTATCACTTGTTCCCTTGTAAATGTATGGCCTTCGGATTTTGCTTGCGGAACATCTTCTACAACTGCAGCAACATGATTAAAGTCTCTGTTTTGTCTTGGCTTCCAATCAGCTGGCTTGCCATGGATTTTCCAGCATGTATCCCGAATATGCCCAGTTCTGTTGCAATGGTCACACCAGAGCTTACCATTTCGCCTAGGTCTGGAGTCTGCATTGTTGGGTCTAGAGACAAAGGCTGCTGCTTCCAAAGGTGCATCAACTTTTGGGATGCTATTGGTCAAAACTTTGCGGCTTTCTTCCCACTTTAATTCAGAAAAAACTTCTCGCAAGGATGGCAGAGGGCGAGTGGCCATGATGCGGCTGCGAGCTCCATCATAGATTGGATTGAGTCCCAAAAGAAGGTTGTAGGTGCGGTCTTGTTCAACAATTTTCTTATACTGAAGAGTATCGGCTGGAGTAGTCCATTCATGTCGATCATAAAGATCCAATTGTTGCCAGAATTTTAGGAGTGAATTATAATAGCTGGTGACATCCTTGTCCTCCTGTTTGAGATCACGAAGAATCCCCTTGATGTGAAACAAGGCAGCTGTGTTATCTTCCTTAGAGAAGGCTTCCTTCACGCCATCCCAAATTTCCTTGGCTGTGGAGCACAACATGTATGTTTCAGCTATTTCAGGCACCATGGAATTCAGCAACCAAGACATCACAAGGTTATTTTCAATGGACCACTTCTTGTATTGTGGATGACTGGTTTCCAGAGGAGCAGCATCACCCGTACCGGTGAGATGATCTCCCTTGCCACGGCCTCCAATGAACATACGAACGCTGCGTGACCACAACAAATAATTGTCTCCATTGAATCGATGACCAGTGATGACTAATGCTGGACTATCGTTGGTAATGACAGCTGCTGAGTTGTTGTTGGTTTGGTTTGATGCTGAAACATTGAGTGGGGTTGTTGTTGGAGTGGTATTTGTACCGGTGGTATTGGAAGAAGTAGTTTGGTAGGCTCTCATGGTGCCAAAGAGTGGCACATTGGTAGCCATGGGTGGATCAGTCCCTTAAAAATCAAGCTCTGATACCATATAGAAAGTTTGAATGATGGAACCAGTTTTTCCATTAAAACTAAAAGAAAACAAAACGTACAATAAATAGACACCAGAAATATTCCAGTGCAACAAATCCCTATAATCAGGGAAAGAGATAAAACTAGAAAACTGAATCCTATTTTAACTAAACAGGAAAAATATCAGAAACAAACTAATCCTAGGAATTTAAATAACAAATAACGAAACAAACTCCTAAGATTAAGGAGGAAAAATAAAACATTCTAGATGCTGAAAACTAGGGATTGCAACAAGAGTTATAAAATTCCCCAATAACCAAAACAAATTTGATTCCTCTAGTAACCAGTGAATTTGGAAAATTAGGAGCTCATTGTACAAAAGTTTAGAATTTCAATGGTTACCAAGGAAAAAATGCAATACCGAGGATTAACTCATTCTAAATCACAATGGAAATATTCATATAGATAATACTGAATTCAGTGATTTTGAAAGAAATGCTAATGACATTTACCACTATCTTTGAAAAAACAACACTTACATTTCTATGATGGATGGGAAATCCAAATTACTTCCCAGCTGTCCACCCAAATTCGTGCCTCCCAGTTGTCTGTCAATCCAAATACAAATTTTATAGAGCCATATCCCAAGTGATCACATTGAACTCAATCAATTAAACAACTCAGGAAACACAAAATATAACATTACACTTTTCAAACCAATTGTCTACAGTATGGACCACAAAAACACAAGATTAAACCAACAACAGTTTAAGAAAGTGAGGAGGGAAACAATTGCGTTTGTTGGAGAAAACCTCCGAGGTACATACAAGGCAGTTATGTTGGAGAAGACACAACTCACACCTTGCCACAGTTCCAAACACGGATCTCCTCCTATGGGTTTCCAACCCTGAAGGGGTGGTGAACCCAGAGCCACATATAAACTATTGATTGCTGCAACTGTTAACCACAAACACATTAAGAGAAAACATTTAGATAACATATGCAAATAGAATATGCATGATGTTTAACTACACCTTCTCTAAGAACGAAGTAGAGCATCATAGAATGAGAATTGAAGCTAGAAATTAAGAACCCTGTACTATACCATCAAGCGGGTCAGTGTCCCCAACACATAAAGTTCCAGTGAAAATCATCACTGAGATGAACAAAATTCCCAAATGCAACTCCAAATTCGTACAACTCATTTCTTCCAGAGAATCTGTTTTCAGTTTCGAACTCCCACCACCTTTTCCAATGCCTTCTACGGATACCATACATAAAAGGCTCAACAACGTTACTAAACTTAAAATAGAAAATTGAACCAACAGAACAAAGCAAAGGTATAAACTTTGACAAGAATGTAGGTATTTGTGAGAAAAGAAACAAACCCTTTAGAAATCAGAGCCAAGTAAACTTGAAAGGGTTATGGAGAATGAAAAAGACACGGAAGAGATAGCTCTGATCATCCAAATTACATACAGATAGAGAGAGTCACTGTCTGTTCTCCTGCTTTGTTCTCTCTTTTTAAAAGCAAGAGCTAATAACAGTGTCTTAAGCTAAACGTTGGTTCAATTCAAGGTCTCTTTTCATTGAAAAATTAAAATGAGGATTCTTTGCTCCACCAACCTGCTTGTGAGCTACACTTTCAATCTGACTGCTTTTCTTTGAGAAGGGTGTAGTTGATCAATTAATGGTAGATTTTTTATATCACCATTAAATGTCTTTTTTAATATAACGGCTTTAAGATGAAATGTGTTTTAAATTTGACACTCATGTTAAAAAATCTTACCTTTTATATATATATATATATATATATATATATATATATATATATATTTTGGAATAAGATCCTTTGACATCGGTTATATTGGGATAAGGTTCTTTGACATCGGTGTCAAACTTTACATTTTGACACCAAATCTTTTTTTTTTTGGGTACATTTTGACACCAAATTCTAACTATAAATTTCCGTCAATTAACGGTTGTGGAATTAATGATTAATTAATTAGTTTTTTTTTTAAACTAATCTTAATTATTTCTTTGAGGCGAATCAGAACCTTCGGTATTCCCCTGGGTTCGACTCTTTGAGCCGCTTATGGGACTAATCTATAGTTTGATTCCCAATAAATAATAATCGTTGATTGACAGAAATTAACAATTAAGATCCTTTACCATATATATATTTATTACCCAAAAACTACGTCATTTTGTTTATTTATTTTCTTATACTAATTGATTCACTTTAAATGATTATGATTTCTTTTTTCTCTTTTTTTCTTTATTACCATGGTACGATTGTCTACAATTATCCTTTTTAACTAAGTCTGGTCAATAAGATATAAAAATTGCATATTGCATTTTCTCTCTACCACTTCAGCCGACAATGTCTGAGAAGAGAAAAAAAAAGAATAATTTTATTGTTACAATTATATCTTACTGGTCAAACTTAATTAAAAATGATAACTGTAGATAATGTTGTCTAAAGTGGCTGTAAAAATATTTTTTCATATATATATATATATATATATAGTTTTATAATTCTCATTCAACATGAGAATTGAAATTTTTCTACACACCTTTTGATTTCCGTACTGACATGGGTCCTACATATAATTTTTTCTAACATATGTGTCTCACATGTTTTTTGTCTCTACAATAAATATATATATATATATATATATATATGTGTATATATATATAGATATATATATAGATATATATATATATATATGGGGAAATCACTTCTGCTGTCACTGTAGAAATGATTTCCTCCTGCCACACATTCACAAACATTTTTTTTTATTATTATTTTTTTATTTTAAAAAATGGTGGGACCCACCATGTTTTTGTGTCAGCTGCAAACTTTCAAATTTTGCAGTCACAGCAGAGTTGCAAAATCCTATGTATATATATGAGGTAAGATCCTTTGACACCTCATCTGAGAGTCATCAGATCAAAAAATATCAACGATTTTGATTTGTAAGCATATGATACCATTTTTTTTTTTTTATCTGATGGCTCTCATATGAGGTGTCAAATTGAAATTTGACACTGGTGTCAAAAGATCTTACCTCTATATATATATATATATATATATATATATATAGGCAGGAGTCCTTTGACACCGGTGTCAAATTTAAAGTTTGACACCTCATCTGAGAGCCATTAGATCAAAAAAGATCAACGACTCTGATTTGTAAGCATGTGACACCATTGATCTTTTTTGATCTAATGGCTCTTAGATGAGGTGTCAAACTTCAAATTTGACACCAGTGTCAAAGGATCCTACCTCATATATATATATATATATATATATATATATATATATATATATATATATATATATATATATATATATATCAATTAATGCTGGATTTTTTTATAAGCAAACGTCAATTAACTTGTTCAAATTCAAATGCCTCTTCTTTTTTAATAGCAGATTCTCTCTCAGCGTTAGTTGATTCTATTATTATTATTGTTAGAGGCATTTGAATTTGAATAAATTCAATAAGTTTGGATATAAAAATGCATCATAAATTGTATATTTTGAGTTGTGTCATGTGGCTCAATAAGGGGAAAGACGCTATGTTGAGACCACTAATATCTCTCACAACTTAAACTGGTAAAATTTGTCCATATATTAAATATTACTTATTTATTTTTTAAATAAAAAGTCTACATAATTAGTGAATGCGCCTGCAACCCCACTTGTGGTCTTTTTATTTATGAGTTTAGTGTTTGTCATTTTAACAGAGAAATAGACAGAGAAAAATAGAAATCATAGGAGAGAGAAAATGAGTGATTTTTTTTAATTTAAAATTTAAATAAAAAAAAAAGTATGTGTCTGTCTCTTTCTTAAAATGACATAACTTTATGTCATTTAAAATGATAAACATTATTCCCTTTATTTATAGCCATAGTTTGGTAGCAAAAATACCATTACCTGAAACTATGTTTTCTACCCTCATCGCTCCATCTCAAACTGTATAATAATTACTATGTTTTCTACTATCTACATGTTAATAACGAGAAAAAAATGTTTTTTTTTTTATAAACGGAAAAAATGTTTTCAATATACCACTTTTTCCAGAAATTCTAACAGACACATTAACATTTTTTTACTTACCCGAATTATATATTTGGGACAACGATCATTTCACCTTTTTGGCAAAATTTACCGAATTGGAAAAAAAATTTGTCAAAATGTCACTTCACTAAACTCGCTGCACTGTGCAGTGAGATTAGTGACACTATGTCAACAAATTTAAGGCCACGAAATCTTATTACACTGTGTAACAAGATTACGTGGCAGAGCCTAATTTGTTGCATTGTGCAACATTTTATATGGTGCAGTAACAATTTGACACGTGAATTAAGAGTACGAATAAATGGTGATTTTTTTTGTTTTCTTTTTGAGAAATATAATAAATAATAAAGACAATGGAGTGTCCATGGGAAAACGATAAAGATGAATTAATGTCCAATAAATACTGATTTGTTTTTTGTTTTATTTTTTGAAAAATATAATACACAATAAAAAACGATGAAGTGTCCATAGGAAAACGATAAAGACGAATTAATGTCAAATAAATGCTAATTTGTTTTTTGTTTTCGTTTTGGAAAATATAATACACAATAAAGACGATGAAGTGCCCATGAAAAAATGATAAAGACGATTTAATGTTCAATAAATACTGATTTGTTTTTTATTTTTCTTTTGTAAAATAAAATACATAGTAAAGACGATCGAGTGCACATAAAAAAACAATAAAGACGATATAATGTCCAATAAATGCTGATTTATTTTTTGTTTTCTTTTTGAAAAATATAATACACAATAAAGACGATAGAGTGTCAAATGGAGTATCAATGAAAAAATGATAAAGACAATTTAAAATGCTGATTTTTTTTAGGGTTTACATTCAGTTGCTGTAATCATAACCATACAAAGGATGAAAGCATAAAATGTGGGGAATCATAACCATAACACCTGTCGTCGTTGTACGTAAAGCGGCTGCAGAAATGATTTTACCTTTTTTTAATAGTTCTCTCAATTCACGTGTCAAATTGTTACTGTTGCCATATAAAACACTGCACAATGCAGCGAATTAGGCCCTGTCACGTAATCTCGTTACACAGTGCAACGAGATTACAAAGGTTATGTTGATCCAACTACCAATTAATCTCACCATTAGATCGATTATGTTGATCCAACGGTTATATTTATTTACACCTTTGTATGGGAAACCATGACCATACAAAGGTGAAAATAAATATAACCGTTGGATCAACATAATCGATCTAACGGTGAGATTAATTGGTAGTCACTTGGTATAATAACACAACTTGGTTGTCAAAATATACTTCCCCGTAAATTTTTGCTAAAAAAGTGGCAAAATACTCTGTCAGTAATCTCAGTGCACATATTTGCCCACTTTCGCGGCATTGCACCAACATTGACCCCCGTTGGCGGGTTAATCTCTCCTAAGTACAAGCACATGCATGCAAAAAAGTGTCTGTTCTTTGTTCCTCTGAGAACCAATACATTGAATCCACTGATGAATTTTTGTGCTTGGAAGTGTTGATAATGTTACTTCTGATAGCCTATAGAATTTGACACAATTATGCAAGATCACTGACTCACAACACAACCCCATCAATCCGCCTCTTATAGTACGTTTGATTTTAATTCTCTTTTATAAAAAAACAATTTAATCCACTGTAGTTTTCCCATTTCCATTGGACATCACATACCTTAACTCACACGGGAAGGTTGTGAGATTAACCGAAATCTCTGAACTTACCATCCGCTGCACCTTATATAAATTTGCATAGTACAGATAGGGCACAGATCACAAGCCCCTGATGTTCAACTGCAATTATCCTCTGCAGGATTTTTTTTTTTTTTTTTTCACTATCTATATACACTTTAATAAGAGCAGGGATAAGTATCATGCACAAAACGACAGGTTTCACCCCATACATATACATTAAAACAAGTCGCATTTTTTTTTTTGGCTGAATCTATCCAAATTCATGTGTATTTTAACTTTTGTTCACTGTTTCTTGTATTTGGTATTAAAATGTTTACTTGTCCACCCCAATTGCTTGTGTGACTTGGTGAAGATCTCACAATAAATGCACTCCCTTCATCCCATCAATTCGCTCTCTTTTCTTAACTAACATTAGCTGTCTATCCCTCTACTTTTTGAGTGTAACCTGTGTCATAGAAAGCTACCTCTTTGGGAAAATCCCATAACCTTTGTGATCCTGCCCTAACAATCTCTCTTCTGTGAATGAAACCAAATGCTTGGTTTAGTGGTTTTTGATTGTGAAAGACTTCCAACACAGTAAAAAAATATATAGCCAAATGGGTTGCTGTGTGAGCAGTAACAAAGCCTCAACCTCACAAGCTTCATCACTAAGAAAATTCCCTGATTCAGAAGCAGTTGCTGAGCCACTAAAACCCTCAGAAAGCAACAGAGAAACACCTCAAGTAGAGGAAGAGACAGTGAAGGAAGTGCTCTCAGAAACCCCCAAATGGAACCCAACAAACATTGCCAAATCAGAACCGCAAAAGCCACACCAAAACATGGCCTTTGACAAGTTCAAAGAAGAAGAAAAAGAAGAAAGCAAGGTTGAGAAGAAGGCATTGCCCATTAACAAAGCCGAAGAAGACATCTCAGAAGTTTGCAGCTTTAGCGAAACCATGTCCACAACTACCACAATCACCGATCAGAGAGAGGAGGCAGAAGAAGAAACCGGCAAAAGGGTCAATAGATCTCCGGCCAAATGGCAGAAAAACCGTTCCTTTTCCGGTGATTTTGGCTGCAGAAGAGAGAGAACGGCTCATGCTCCAAGGAATGTTGGGTCTGTGAAGTTGGTTCAGTGCAGAGACCAAATGGGTCAAAAAATGGGCAATGGGGGAACGCATCGCCGGAAAGATCCCGGCGACAACTCTTTCCGGCGGTCGAGGTCACCGGCCCCGCATGCAGACACCGGAACAGCTAGACCAGTCATGGGTCGTAGCCCATCTGCAAGAAGAACGAACCAGTCCCCTGCAAGGGTCAGAGCCACGCCGCCGGTAAATGGTCGCCGGAAAAAGGAGAATCCGGCCATGGAGGGTAAATGGTCTTCTGCTAATGAGTCACTGGAAAATCCACTTGTATCATTCGAATGCTTCATCTTTATCTAGATTTTTTAAAATTTCCGGCAATGGTGTTGGGGTGGCGCCACCAGTCAGCCACCGTGGACTGGCTAAGTGTACTGCCAAGTCATAGTATTAGACTTATTATTGTTATTATTTCTGTACTTTCTTCAATCTTTGAAGTTAATGCACTTGAGTGTAAATATTATAAGTCAAGGGTTAATTGTTGCAGATTGTTGTACTCTTGGATACTGGGATGCGTAAACGCCAGTGGTAAAAATAATAATAATAATAAAAAATTAAATAAGTATATAAATAATTGACCTTACGAACTTGCGTTGCATCACCCTACTCTGCAAGTAGATTTCTTGGACAACACCGAATTACTCTGATGGGAAAGATTGCGTTTCTGTCCATATATGATTTAGTCTGTACCCAAATATTCACTCCCAAACCTTATGGTAAAGTACATGAACAGCTAAATTTAGTGAATATTTTTAGCCAATGAAGTCATGAACCAGGTAAAATTGGTTTCACCCAATTGCTATTTTATAAAGAAACAATTGTGGTGTATTGTAGGAGACAAATTTTATTATATATATATATATATATATATATATATATATATATATATAAAAGTGTATGGAGTTAAAAAAAAAAATTCTCTTCACATGATTTAATAAGAATATATAAGTGTATGGAGTTAATTTTTTTTTTCTCTTCACATGATTTAATAAGAATCTCACACAGTTTTATATATATATATATATAATATAAAATTATCTCTGAAAAATATTAATCTCATTTTATACTAATATGTTCCTATCCTACCTCTTTTGCTCAATCTCAAGTGCTTTTTTGTGAAAATATTATTTTATTTAGAGTAGGGTTGTCCAAACCATTGATAAGGCTATTATTGATCATTCCACCAAAATATTCATTATTCAATTGGGCAGGAAGCGCTAAGAAAATTTACAATAAGAGTTACATTGGTTGCACTGTAAAGATTTTTTTTTATTTTTTTTTTGTAAACTGCACTGTAAAGATTTTTGGTTGTTCTTAGTACCTTATTCTCTAAAATAGAATTATTTTAATATATATCGTATATATAATGAGAAAAAGAGGTGTCATTTCAAATGACACACTTTATATCCTTTGACTCTATTCACATCTTTCAAACTTTCTTTTTCACTCATTTTCTCTTGTGATCTATCTTTTTTTCTTACTTAAAATAACATAACTTTGCATCTTTTAATATGATAGATATTTTCCTCGTATACAATACAAGTAATGGTTTTTATTTTGTTGGGTTTTCTTTGTCAACGTTTTGGCGGGTTTCCTCCGATACTAAAGTGAGTCTCATGCACATGGTTTTTGCATCTCGAGGCCCGCTAGCCCCAATGGTCCACTTCATATTACACTAGTATAAGAACATTAAAAAAAGAGAGTCATAGATCATAAAAGATAGCATTTCGACAACGAGCAACTATTAGGAAATTTGAGAAGTTCCTAAACAATGTGTGATTATAAAAATTGCTTTCTTTGAGCAAATGTGGTTAGTATTGAATTTGATTTGAGGATGGAGGGAAACCCATGTTGGTAGCCGTTTGCACTATAGGACAATAAGGACAACTTCATACCTAGTGATCCTCATTTTTTTATATCAAACCGTTAATGTTTCTACCCTGAATAATATTTTATGGTGCCATCCATATCAACCATTTTGGAGTTTATCTTTGGTTCCATCCTCTCAAGCACGAAGAGACAAATAGTGTATCTCCCATCAATCATGTGGAATGATATGGAAAGAAGGAATGTCCCGAGGCTCAAAGCTCTATGTTCAAAATTCAACCCAAAAGAGCACCTATGTGGTTTCTATGGTGGACAACTATAAAATATTTTAACGTTATTCATAGCTTTCGGGATTCGTCATTATCTGCCTCCACTGAAATTCAAAAGGGGATCACGGCTTTGATTATACTTTACTCTTGAAATCAAGTGGATGAATGACATTGCTTTTGAGGGTCCATGCTTAATGCATATTAATTGACCTAAAAACGATTAATAATGCAAGTCTTCTGAGAAGAGAGTACACTTCCTGTCAGTTTAGAGGAACTCAAATCAATGGGTTGTTTAAGTGATATTTATTTAATTCCCCTTAAACAAAGTTTTGAGTTTAAATTTTTCTGAATATAAAAAATTTATCTTGAGAGAGCTAGCCTTGGTGAATATTCTTAGCTCAAACATGATTGTTCCCGTAAAAGATATATATAATTTATAAATAAATAAATAAATTTTTTTTTTAGAGGAAATCAGATTCGTCCTAATTGCCTTATATGCATTCAAGAAAATTTAAGCACTTAAAGTCAAATAATTTTTAGTAAATTTTAACACTCAATTTTTCTTCTTCTTATTCTTTACTAAATCTTAAAACTTTTATAACTATGACAGAAAAAGGTTACTTTTAATAATTTTGAGTAGAATATGAGTCACGACATGGCATGGCTATTATTCTTGACAACACATGTTCCATCAGTCGAATCCGCCCGTCTAATCTATTACTTTTCAAAAATTAGATCCCAAAATTTAATCCACTAAACCAACCACACAACTCCACCTAAAATTATCAAGGCGAGTTGACTTATTGGGTTATTAATATTTTTTAAGTATTGAATCAACTGAATAATTATCTTGTAAAATGTTATTTGATACTTTAATTTTTATTCAGGTGAGAAATATTTTGTTTCATTTTTTTTATTTAGGTAGATTAACTTGTCAATCTACCGTAAAACAGACGGGTTGTTTTTTTTTTTTTTTTAACTCACTGTTCAAAAGTAAATCAATCAGTTCTATTCCATTTTTGTCAAGTTAAAAATGAGTTATGAGGAGTCAATATTCTTTATCAATCTTGCCTTCACCAAAAAGGATACTGAATTATTATGTATTAAAGTTCAATATAAGCATGAAATTAATTAAAAATGGACCATAAATACCCATTTTTTTGACCTGGATTGAATATTGACCCACTTTATTTGGGTCAGGTTTTAGACTTCACTCATTTAATAATTAACTCATTAACCCAAAACTTGACCCATACCCATTATGTGAAAAAAAAATTGAAAAAAAATCACAATTACATTAAAAGAAAAGTATTAACGTAAAACAATTACATCAAAAAATTTTACGGAAAATATTTCCACAAAACATTTTTGCCAATAATATTTTCATCGATATTTGTGACTAAAAATATTTCTGTAAAAAAACTTTGACTGAATTTTTTTTTGTCAAATTTTTTTACGGAATCTAAATTTCGTCAAAATATTTCACAAAAAAATATATTCATCAAAAATTTTGACGAAACACATTTCCATCGAAATTTTTTGACGGAAAAAAATTTCATCAAAATTCTTTACAAATTTCAAATTTTGGCAAAAGTTTTTGACGAAATTTGTCGTTAAACTTTTTGACAAAAAAAAATTTCGTCGAAATTTTTAGGGAAACACATTTCAAACGAAAATTTTCGACTAAATATTTTCGTCAAGTTTTTTGAAAAAAAATGTTTCCATCAAAATTTTCAACGAAACACATTTTTGTAAAAAAATTTCGTAAAAATTTTTGACAAAAAATATTTCGATAACAAATTTTGACTGAAAAAATATTCTGTCAAAATTCTTTAGAGAATCTAAATTTCGTCGAAAGTTTCGAATGAAACATTTCCCTCAACACAATTTCAATCGAAAATTTCGACGAAACACATTTCGATCAAAAAAATTTGACGAAAAAAAATTTCATCAAAATTCTTTACAGATTTCAAATTTCGGTGCAAGTTTTAGACGAAAAAAATTTCGTTAAAATTTTTGACAAAAAAAAAATCTCGTCAAAATTTTTAGCGAAACACATTTCCATCAAAAAATTTCAAATAAATATTTTCGTCAAGATTTTTGATAAAAAATATTTCCAACAAAATTTTCAACGGAACACATTTATGTATAAAATTTCGTAAAAAATTTTAACAAAAAATATTTTGACGGAAAAATATTCTGTCAAAATTCTTTAGAGAATCTAAATTTCGTCGAAAGTTTCAACTAAAACATTTTACTCGAAACAACTTCCATCGAAATTTTCGTCAGAACACATTCCCGTCGAAATTTTGTACGAAAAACATTCCGTCAAATTTTTTGACAGAATTCTTTTTTCGTTTAGAACATTTGATGGAAGAAATCATTTTCGTCAAAACTTTTGACGTAAACTAAATTTCGATAGAAAATTTATTATTTTCATTAGAGAACAAATTTCGTCGCTTTTCGACAAAAAAGTATTCCGATGAAAAAATAATTTTGTAACAAAATTTTTGTCATTTGCAACGTAGAAATTTCGACGAAATTTTGTGAGGAAACCAAGTCGAAAACGGGTCAGGTCAGATTTGACCCTCTTCAGAAACCAAGTCAGACCCACTTCAGGTCATATCTGATCCAGTTCTGAACTAGTTCAACAAAATCCAAACCAAGTCAGACCCACTTCAGAAACCAAGTCAGGTCAGATCTGATCCAGTTCTGAACTAGTTCAACAAAATTCAAATCAAGTCAGACTTGACTTGTGTCAAAATACCTGACCTATAAAAACCAAGTTGGGTCGAGTCGGACAAAAACCTGACCCGACCTTACCCATGCACAACCGTACCCAAAATCTTAAGACATTAGGTGTACGGGTCATTCCACTTATATGGTGCTCATTTAGTTCATTCTTAATCAATGTGGAACTTTTTCACTCAATCATTCACCCTTGGATTTCTCAACAATATAAAATGTATCTTTTTAAAGCATTCAAACCCGTTTTTAGTTGAATTAGTTTTTATACATGTATATGTAAAAAAAATTATATTACCATCTAATAATATTTTTACCATTTAATGAATTTAATTACACATGACTTACTAAATTTATTAAATAATATGACTGGTCATTTAATAAAATATCTTTAAAGACTAAAGAACACTAAAGAGTACCTTTTAAGTACATTTTTTTTATATCCTTTGTTTTTGGTAAATTTTGATAGCCCTTTTTAAGTACTTCTTAAATATTCAAAAAAAAGTGTTTTTAAAAAAATTTGGTACAGGTTTCTAAAAAATATATAAAGTAGTGTGCGCCTTTTATTAACAAATTTTCATTTTTTTTTCTCTTAAAAATGTTAAAAAGTCATTCAGACACTATAACTAACAACTTTTTTATGATGGTGCTGATAAGAGCGTCTGGTCTCTTCCGGATTCCAATTCTATTTTTGTGGGAGCTTTGTATAATTGCCTAATGAATCAAGGGGGAAGTGATGAGGAAATAAAGAGGATGTGGAATCGTTTGTGGAGTTGGAAAGGTTCAAATCTTTGCGTGGAAGCTATTGCATCAGTGTTTGCTTACAAAGATTATAATTGCTAAGAGGAACAACGGTGATAATAGATGTCCTTGTTGTTTGACAGAAGCGGAAAGAATTATTCATGTATTTAGAGATTGCAGTGGTGTGAAACTGCTTTGGGATATGCTTGCTATGACTCAAGAGGTATCTAATTTTTTTACATTAGATACTAAGCAGTGGCTTGCAAATAATATTGTAGGTGTTCCAGATAAATGGCTTACCACTTTCCTATCTAGGTGCTGAAAAATTTGGTGGTGGAAGAATAAGGTAATCCCTAACTCTCTAATCAAAGCTGATGTGGTTAGGAGACTTGTGAAGGATATAGAGGATGCACTGCATGGTCTGGGAGGGATGAAGAAAAATCCAGTTTATTCCTTTGCAAACGTTTGGGTTAAATTAATTTTTTATGTATTTAAAACTTCAAAGTGAGAATTATTTTATAATTATAAGGGTATAAATTATGGAAAAAATATTTATTCTTTTGCATGATAGTCATTTTAGTTAAAATGACTGTTTTTTATTTAATATTTAAATTAAAAAAAAAACTCACTTTCTCTCACTAAAAAACAATATGTAATTTTGACTAAAATAATTTTATGTTCTTTAAAGTGAAGAACACTAATCCCATGCCAAGGATGACAATAATAAATAAAAGAGAAAAGTTCACCAATGCCCTTGTGATTTGTTTCAGAATCACCTATGCCCATATGATTTTTTGTATATCATATATGCTCCTCTAGTTGATAAAAAATAAAAAATTACAGGGACATATATAATAAAAAAAACATATTCTTTTGCAAACCACAGGAACATGCATATGTGATAAAAAAAATCATAAGGACGTAAATGATTCTGGAATAAACGGACATTGGTGAACCTTTTCCTAAATAAAATAGAGATCACGGAAAATTAATGTGCTAGAGGAAGCTCAGAGAAGAGTTACACAGTTGATGGGCACAATACTCCATCTATTGATAACTGATTTAGTGAACAAGAATTAGGAATCCACATTTGGACACAAATTGATCTTGCACTTCAAAGATGGATATTTAATTGCCAAACCCAGTTCTGCCTAAACTAAATCCTATATTACATGTTATCAACTATAAAGAGAGCCCCTCTGTTTAAAAAAATGGATGGAAGGCAAACCCCAAGAACAGTCTATTCTTCACAGAAAAAGCATCAACAACCCCTTTGATGCAATATGCATATAACTTTGTCATATTAATTCAGATCTCTCAAAACTTCATTGATATTAAGAAGGGTGTTGTTGGAAGTGGAACTTGGTAATGTGCTATGTTGATGAGAAGGCCATGAAACCCGCTCTAGACAACAAGGGGGAGGGGCAGGATGGGCAATGAATGTAGGAATGTTATCTCCAGGCATCAGAACTGAAATCCCACTTGCATATAAACTCATCTGCACACAAAGTAGAAAATCAAGGGAATTAATGAAACACAAGCTTACGAGTATAATTAGACACAAATCTCAAAACAAAAGAGAAAATTGATATTTTAATAGTAGACATGATAAAATGCTATCATTTATCCAATTATTGTGGCATTCCCATTTGTGTTGATATAGAAGTTCAAAAAATTAAAAGTAAAAAAAATTGAAAATGAAACTAGGAGTATCCAAGACCAAAGTGCCCATAAAGGATAGGACAACTATTTTGAAGTATCTAGCTTCCTTGGTTGTGTTACATCAATAGTGGGCCAAAAATCAAACCAAAAAGGGTTTGACAAACCATTGTCCATTGTTGTTTCCAAAAAAAAAAAAAAAAACCATTGTCCATTGTAAACTTTAAAGGAAAAGCAATAATGAGATTTATTATTCTTATGTTACGTAAGAAAGAATTTATTTCCTACACACAAATTCAAGATGGGTCTCACTCTATTTTTTTTTTCTCTCTCCTCCTAAAAGTGGACCTTACCTGCATAAGTGAGTCTGAGAGATAATAGTTATCTCCTAATGCATGGAAAAACTATTACCTAGCAATAATTGTTTCTTTGTTTACTCAGTATCTAAAGCCATTACTCAAACGTCATAGAATAAAATGCCTTATTGATAACCACATGAAATCTTTCAGTGCTTAAAGTATGCAGTCATCTACCTGGTCATACACATTATATACGTAAATATAGTAATGCAACAGCAGCTTTACTATTGTTAGTTTGAATTTTCAACACAATAAGCAAATTCATTAAGAGAACCTAGTCCAAAAAAAGGAAAACAGTAAAATATCATAAAGGAGAAAGCAATTGATTATTACTAGCATTATCACCGAATTTTAGCAAAAGATCCGATCAGTTAGTTGATTACGACAGCATTAGAATGGAGGGGAAATAATGTTATAAATTATAAGGGAAAAACATGTATCATTTTAAAGGATGTAAAGTTGTGTCATTTCAAGTGAGAGAAAGAGATAGATAAAAGAAGAGAGAGTGGACACAAAAATATAAAGATGTGGGTCCCACCTTTTTATGAGAGTGAAATGATATAAGTTATGTCATTTAAAAGGACAAACACTTTTCCCGTGTTATAAAGAACATTTCATATAATTCCAGACTCAGCCAAAAAGGTATGATGGATATAAGATGCAAGCACATAGGGAAAGCGAATTGAATAGTGACACCAAAAAAGAAAAAAAAACATAGCTAAAACACCAAAGAGCCTCCCAAAATGACCATCATTAAAAGAAAAAATTGTACTGTTAAGTTGTTTGCATCCGGTGCTAAACTAATAAAGCAAGATCTAGCTAGTGAAGTATATCGCATCAATCATCAAAGCGATTAAAGTTCACTGTATATGATTCACAAGGTACACATAATCTTCTCCTAGTGGCCCTCAATCGTGTATCAAATGAAATGAAATAAAGTAATAAACAACAAAAACATTTATATCTTATTTTTTACTTCAATATATTATACATATATAGAACATATTGAGAGTTTTCACAATTTAGTTATAATTGAAAGGTTTGTTTTGCCTCTTAAACATTTCAGCAATAAAGTTGGCGAGATTGAAGTCACTACATTATCAATATATTGTTATAGAAATATCAAGCCGACATTGATATATCCCATAATCTTTTATGATGAGAAGAAAAAAAATTCCAACATAGTCTCTGTGTAGTATCATTACCATAAAAAATGAAAAAAAATCCCTACCGGAAGCCTAAGTGCGTGGAGCATTTTCTCAAGTCCATATTCTATTCCATTAACCCCATACTGAGATCCTTCAATGTGATGTAAATGCCACACAAACAAGCTATTAATTCTAGATTAGTTGATTAGTGAGCTTTTTGTCTTCAAAATCTGATTGGCTAGTACTAGAGAATCATTAATAATTTAGTTAAAGATGAAAGAAACAATTCCATTGTAGACAGTGCCCAACAGGGATTGGATAACTAGGTGGGCCCTGGGTGTTCCACCAAAGGAATGGCACAAGGTAGACAACACAATTGTTACATGGTACTGACACATCATAGGATGCTAAATTAAAAATAAAAAATATTAAAAGTTGTAAAAGCCAAGAAGAGATATGTAGAATAAAGAATACAATATATGATGTGGTTACTTTCTTTTTTTTTCTTTTTTGAAAACAGTTGTGGTTACTTTCTCTATTAGCAAATAAGACTAGCATATAAACGTTTTGACTATCTGTCCCAGACCACAAACACAAGGCCACGCTCAGTATAATCAAATTTGGAGGTGCTGGAGCTGATGAACAAGGACAATGTGGTATGTGTCTTAAATCTAATCACAAAGATGTACAATAAAACTTTTAACACCAATGGCTAGGGACCAATTGTTCGGTAGAAAGCTTCCATAGAGAACCATTACCTTGTAAAACTTAGAAGAAGACAATAAAATATGGGTTTTCCACTGCTAAATTCAGATTTGACAGATGTTCTACCTTTCATTCAAAATGGAAATTGGGGATCAATCACTACAGTAGACTATTGGTACATTTCTTCACCAAAGCAAGAAAAGCATAAAGATTGGAAGGTTTGGACAATTGAAGAAGACAAGAGAAACCTCCTTTTACTGTTAGGCCACTAGGAAAACCTCTGATGGAAAACCAAGATGAAGAAGACTCCAAAGACCATGATAAGGCATAGCACACAAACATTTTGAATTAAACATACCAAAGAAATTCATCAGAAAACAGAAGACTAGTAATTTTCAGAAATGCCTGCATTCTGAGAAGAAAGGGCGCAGAAGCAATTTATGGTTATGGGAATGATATTTGACAGAAAAAAGATGTAAAGAACTGCAAAACGGAAAGCAACCTAGAAACAACAAAATTAGAGAACAAAACTTTATTTTTTGTCATAGAAATTATCATCACTTACTCAAAAATCAAAATAACCAACCAAATGAAAAGGCATCGGTTTAAAAGTGGAAGAAAAAAGAGCATTCTGCATTCTCTGTTGAATGTGAAAGAAAAATCTAAACTTTAAAAAAAAAAGAGTAGAAAACCCTCCAAAGACTAGACAAAGAAACCACTTTTAGCACGAAAAGTTTAAGGCTTTCACATGGGCATGAAAATTGGAGCATGACCCAAGATAGAAAAAAGATATTGTTTACTCACTTTTGGTGATGGGTGACCGAGCTTGCCACTGAAACCCATCTGGGACTCGACATCGCCGGGTCTCCGGCGACCGGACGGCGACAAGGCCGGCGAAGTGGGTCTGAGGAATCTCTCAAAAATAGCCATGACTAGGAACATGAAGATGAGAATGGCAGTGGCTACGAACCCAAATGAAACTGCATTGACCGAGCTATCAAAGTTGCTCCAATGCTCATCTCTGTGCGTGTTCAGTGGAGACCCAATTGGTGGCCATCCATTGTTATGGTCTTCCACCACCATTTTTGTTGCCGAACAAAACTCTCTCTTATGCTCTATGCTGTTACCATTGTTGGGTAGCTTGTGTTGGCCTCAGGGGAACATGTTTCAGAGGAACAAAGAAAGAGAGAGAGAGTTAAGTAACACAACTATGGCTGTGCCAAAACTTGTTGAAGTACTTAAATTAGGCCTTGAAGAGAGAGAGAGAGAGAGAGAGGAGAAGGTGATAAACAGAGGAAGGAAAGAACTTTGGAATTTGTATAGGACTCTCTCTCTCTCTCTTGTTCTGTTTTTATTTTTTTATTTTTTTGAGAAACCGAAGCAATTCTGTGACAGTTGGAATTGACCATTTACTTATATTTTCAAAATGTTATAACTTATTTTCCATCATCAGTTTTGTAAACAACAATTATGCAGTGCAGAGTGACAGAGTGTACGAAAATACATTTTACCAATTAACATTTGATAGATAAATTGAATTTAAATAATTCATAAATTGTATACTTGTTAACATGATTTTATAACTGTAAGTCTATGATATAGAGAAAAAATGTTTGTGATTTTACATGACATAAATTATAATATTTTATAGATATAAAGAGATGAAATTTATATTTTTTTTGTCTTTATTTTTTTAATAGGATTCATATTTTTTTTTGTTTATAAAATGATATAATTTATATCATTTTAAATGACTTATACTTTTTTCATAATGTAAATATAGAAAAAGGAATGTAAAATAAATAAAACCCATTAATAATAACAATAATAAAGATCCTGTGTATGTGCTCCCTTTAAAAAGCCTCATGCTACTCACATATGATGAGACTAGTGTTTATATAAAAATATTGTCACTTAAATGCATAAATTTTATGATCTTTATTATTAAATAGCTTTTTTTATTTTATATTTCGGTTATTAACGCAAGGTAGGAATTTTTAAGTGGAATTGAAGCACGAGAATTTTTTTTTTTATTGGTATGTATTACTAATTTATACTATCTTATCTTCAATAAATATTAGTAATATATTTTTTATTTCTAAAATAAATTTATGTATATTTTATTCAATGAAGAGTGGGTATAAATTATTTAATGACGCACATAAAATTTACTTAATAATAAAGAATATTTCCTGTAAAAATTGTAACAAAAAGCATGTTACACTATTTCTCTCGCATATTTTAACTGTGTTTGCTTCTTGGATATCTAATGTCTCTGTTGTGTAAGATTAGGGGGCTGTTTAACATATGATTAGAAAAATAATTTTTTAATTTTTTAAAAAGAACAAAAAAATATATTTGATAAGGTCTGTTTTATAATAAAAAATTTAAAAAATTATAACTATTTTTTTATAATTAAATTTAGAGATGTATCTGAGTTTTTTTTATTTTTTGCTTTGACTTTTTACTTTCAAAACAAAAAAAATCATAGAAAATACATATTTAATTAACTATTCTATAAAATAGTTTTAATAAAAAAAAAAATAGAACACAATCAAACAAATTCTAGAATTTGAAGTTTGAATTTGAATTGTCTTTCATCTTAATAATAACTTGTATTATACACAATGAAGGATTTAGTTTTTGTTTAATTTTAAGTGTAAATATTATCTATATTATCATCTAAATCATTAATAATAAACTTAACTTTTCAAATTATGTTTTAACATATAATAAATAACAATGTAAAAACTTGTTCCCCCGCACTCCGGATTAGTCTCATAGCCGGCTCAAAGAGTCGAAGCTCGTGGGGATACCGGGGGGAGTCAACTCGTCTCAAAGAGATAATTAGGGTTGGGTAACTCCAAAAAAAAAAAATCAATGTAAAAACTTTGCAATAAAATCAAATCAAATTAAAAATCTATAATAAAATAAGGAAAAATATATTAAACATTTCAAGTTATATTTTTTCTATATAATTGTAAAAGAAAATAAGAAAAAACATATTAGTTATTTCAACTTACAATGTCAACACATTTTAAAATGCTTCTTAGCACCCTACCAAAAAAAATGCTTCTTAGCAAGTTTTATTGTACGATAAATCAAGTCATTTTTTGTGCTTATTAGCAGGAAAAAATTAAGAAATTAAAGGCCTTTCTATTTGTGTTCCTCGACATGATGAAGCTTTTTACTTTTGATCGTGATTTGCACCTTTCCCTTTGTATTAGTGTAAAATAACATTTTTCTATGTATAATCCCTTTATGTATGATTGAAGTTTGCATGGAAGAGATGGATGAAGATTTTCCCAATAAAATTTCTCCTTTTGAAAATCTCAATTATTCAAACTTTGTGTCTAATCACAATTCGACAAACTTTAATAAAACATAGTGGCTAATTTCTTAATCATATCCAACAAAAAATGCAACTTGCACCTTTCAGTATCAGCTAAAATAAAAAAGAGGACAAAATATTTTGTTTCCAATAAAATTAAAAAACCAGCTCATTTGAAAAAGAAAAAAAGAATTTTTTTTAATATAAATGGAAGAAAGGAAGAAATGAAAAAGAAATAGAATTTCATCTAGATAGTTTTTCTTTAACCTTGATTCTTCAGATGACGATAACATATAATTTCCAAGGTGAAACAAATATTTATTCTGTATAAAAATATGTTGCAAAATTAAATTAATAGTTTATTTATTAAAATAATTGAGTTGGAAACAAAGTAGTAAACCGTGCCATTAGTAAGTGGCAGCTTGGGCGTCGTTGCATGAGTTATGGGAATAATCTCTTCTACAATAATTGATTTTATAAATTTTTATGTAACTTTATTTTTATAAGTATTAAAAATGTTTTAAGTAATTATGTTATTGAGTTTATTTTTTCTACAATTAATATAGATAAGTTATTTAAATTGAACCAAAAACAATGTCATTTTGGAGAGAAAATCAATGTATTTTTATAATTATAATTTATTTAACAGAGTTATAATAATCTTTCTCATTATAATTTTTTAATCTTTCAATCTTTATGAGAGTGAAAAAATATAAGTTGTGTCATTTAAAAGGATAAACACTTTTTCCAAAAATTATTTACACAAATATTATATTTATTATGCTACACATAAATAAATACATTTTTGTGTGTTTATACTATGACTTTAACATTTCTACAGTGAATGCAGATGAGTTATTTATGTTCACTCTCAAAACAATGTCTTAAAAAATTATAATGATAAAAACTATTATAATATTGAAATATATTATAATTATAAAAAGTATCTTAATTTCTATTTCAAAATAATATTATTTTGGACTTAATACAAATAATTTATCTGCCTGACAAAAAATGAACCCTTAGATTATTCAATTTAAAACATTATTTTCTAGATCTTGTGAATTCAAATAAAAAGTGGGATCGTTTAATTTTTCATTGAATTGATGGGTAAAAAAGTAAAACATCTTGCTTCCGTATGATTGTATACGTGCTTCAGCTATGAAGCACCGACACTTCAAAAATTTTGACGTGTCATGTCCAACACTTTCTAATATTCTCCGACACTTCGACACTCACCGACACTCCAATACATGTATATAAATTAAAAAAAAAAGTTTCAAAGGATGCGTTGTGTTGAGTTTTTAGTTTCAATTATTAGATTCGTTGGATTACGATTACCATTTTATTGAGTTTAATATAAATATTAGAAATATTTTATATTTCTTTGCAAAATTGATGAATATTATAAGTTTAATTTTATATTTTGTTAAATTATTGAATATTAAATATAATATACACTACATAAATTAAAATTATTATTTAATATCAAAACGTGTCCTAAAATGTCAAAATGTAACATTTTTTAAAATTAACGTATCAGAATATCGTGTCGTGTCACGTGTCCCGTATCAGTATCAGTGCTTCGTAGCATATAAAAAAATTAGAAAGTGGGGAAATAATGTCAGCAAAAGCAAAACAAAAAGGATTCAAAATCTGTTTGTTTTGGAAATATTAGAAAAATGGTTTACTTTGAAAAGGATTCATCATGGGCTACCCGTGATCGTGACCACCGGCAGAGGATGGGATTCCCACAATGCGAGCGCATAAAATACTAAATTTATTTTAATATGTTAAAAATTAAATTTACTTAAATATATATTGTTAAATTATTAACATAATTATGTCAAGGGCTTATCATTTCTTAACCTGCCGGAGATAATTTTATCTCTGACTAATAAATCATAACCGTACAAAGATGGATCAATGGTGATAAAGGAAGAGAGAAAAAAAGAAATCATAACCATTCAAAGGTGAATCAATTAATATAATGAAATAAATAAACAAAACGATATAGTTTTAGAATAATCGAAGATAAACTTATCTCAAGTTGTTGGAAAAATATTTTTCCCTTATATCAAATAGGTGGATTGATTGATAAGGGTTATTTAAGTCTAACTAATAATTTCTGATCATAAGCCATTATGTTTGATTTAATAGTAAATGATTTGGAGAGATTATATTAGGTCATGTGTTTAATTCTCGTCTGTATAAAAAAAATTAAAATTTTGGATCAAAATACCACATACGTAACTGTGTTAAAATTTTAACAGAAATAAATTTAGTTATTGTTATTGTGATTATATCCGGCTCGAATGAGATGAATTGAATAATTGATAATTCTGTATTGAAATCTAAAAAAATATTATTATGATAATTATAATTGCTATAGAAAAGTCAAATATTTTAACGCGGTATTAGATCAATGAATACAAGTTTAGTTTCCTCACCAAAAAAAAGAAAAAAAGAAAAGAAAAAAAGAATACAAGTTTAGTTTTATTTTTTTTTTGAAAAAAAAAACCTTTTAATAAGTTTTTATTATAAATTATTCAAAATAAAAAAAAGTTTTATTCTATCATAATCAAATATAAACTCAATTGATAGAGCACGCCATGGCCGGTGTGATCATACAAAACAGCACACAGAAATTCACGACGCATTCAGATTATTATATTTTAAGCATAAAAAAGCTTTTTAATAAAAAATGAAAATATTTCGAAAAAAACAATTTTTAAAAGCAAGCTTTTCCCAT